AATCAGTTTTTTGGAGTTATTTTCTCTAGGCACATGTCTGCAAAAGATTCACAATCCTGTGCCCAACGCAGAAAAAAGCAAAGCTACTAAAACGTGCGCGGCTTTGGATTGTTCCAAGTTCTTTCAGTGTACTAGAGTTTTGTCCGTTTCTTGCCAACCAAGACGGGTATGGTAACAGTTCAATTCCAACGGCAAGGAAGAAACGCCCGTTGGCTGACTAGTCTACCAGTATAGAATTATATATTTATGTGACAGCACCACTTCATCTAACTCTAGGTCTAATTTTGCTCTCAGGTGAACCCTGATTCCTGATCTGTATTGCTTTGAAGATTGTTTCGCAGAAGTTCGCGCATGATGGCTGACTTAGCCGAGAACCTTTGGCTTACAAGAGACTCGAACACTCTCCGGCCGAGTGTGATACCACCACCGAGGCTCCTGAACTACTTTTTGAGATCACCTACATATCTAACTATCCAGTAGGACTTAGTTGTACTTTTCCATTCGTTCCTATTCCGTTTCCAGTAATCCCTGTTGTACCTTTCTCTATTGTATGGAATGTTTCCTTCGCAAGTAATGTCATCTCCAGTTATTCTAATCCTTCGACGTTTTTTTTCGAATTTTTTTCAGACTCTCAAAACCCTCCACTTCAATATAAACTGTAGACAGCCACGCTAACTTGGTGGATCTTTGACCGAATTTCAAAGCAGATTTTCTCAGGCTCTTAGCCAATGTATGCCTACACTTCCTGCTCTTGTTGTAGGAATGATTCGTGCTCTTGTTGAATGAAAGTGAACCTGTCGCATATCCACCGCCTCTTTTCGAGGTTTCATTGAAGTATTCCCAATGTCTCCTAGATACGGTAGAAACGAACGTGAATTTGGCAATATGCTCAAAAGAGATCAGCTGTGGTCACAACGCTCGTATTCAGTATTCTACATTCCGTTCTCAGTACTCGATATTGCACGTGCGCTTTCGGAGAACTGTGCTCCTTGAGGACCCCTCAGAACAACCGCTTGAGGGGCATGGCAAAGCGGTATTGCACTTGGATCTAACTGACTGAAAGCACACACGGTACAGCATAGCTGGAGTTTCTAGTCTAGGGCGCACCGTACGTCAAGAATTCTCCATCGCAAGGGGGTTGGTCTGACAAGATTTTTTTGTTGGTTTTTTCATACGCTATAACTCCCTCCCGCTCCCTCCCCTCGCAGTCCCTTCCACAGAAGACTACACTCTTGGCTGCCTAGTGATCTAATGCATTTCTAACTTCTCCATTTCTCAATAATGGTCGAATGAAGCCTCAACACTCAAAAGGGAATTGGGAGGGGGTCGAATATAGTGAGAGCCTTCCTAGGACCATTGGATACCGCGGGCCTTTGCAGAGGTCGCTCAACTTCAGATCAGTTCTTTTTATGGGAGCCAATCTAGAACCAGAACTCTCTGAGCGGCTTCTCACCTAGATGGCTGAAAGTTGACTGAACTGCTCTTTCTGTTAATGAAATTTTTATGATGCTTAATGGCATGAAAACAGCAGTTCATAACAGCTGCGGAAATAAAAGGTTTCCGAAGGCTCTTGTAAAGAGCAATCACGAAAATTACCGTCTACTCACCACTACACTTTTAATACTTTATGACTCATAACAACATTTCCTCGCCGATCTGGCAGAGTCGGGGAAACTGCGTATATAAGGAAAAAGCACGGCACTAATTTGAAAACCCTTAGAAACCCTTGCTTATTGTTCTCCTAGTACAGTCGTTTTCCTTTTTTGTTTCTCCTATCTCTAAACATTTCTCACATTTGACGCGTTGATTCATCAGAAACCGCATTTTCAACAATTCGGAACAGCGATGTAAGAGGAAAAGATTAACAGGGCACGTGGAGCTTTTGGAGATCCCCGGGGAAGGGCATTTGGCCGCGGGAGAGGAGAGTCGCATGTGGAGGGGCAAAATTTTTCTCTGATCGTTGACTTACCGCTTCCACTATCCATGGCAGGCGCATTGGAAGATGAGTTACTTCCGTGAGTCATTTGGTGATTTCTTCCCCTCCTGCGTCCCCCACCTTTCGCTCAAAATTTTCGCGAATACTCGGTGAGAAGTGTTGGTCAGTTTTCGGTTGTGGGATCGCAGAAAGTGGTCGTGCCGGAGGAGGAAAATCGGAGCGGGGGGGGGTGGTATCGAGCAGAAGTTCTCGTCAATGCCAAGACTTGCCCTAGAGGTGGTACAGCTTCCTCCTTCTTCATGAACCCCTCGCTCCGTCGCTTTCAAAACCTCTCTTGTTGTCACTCACCTTCTTATGTGCTAGTTTCGCATCAACTCGACGATGCAACAATGCAGGTACGTTGAAAATTTCTCCAAAAACCCGTTCTGATAGATTGACGCATGAGTGTCAGGACCTCGGGAGGGGGATTCTCGCATATCCTACTCTGGAGTCCACATCGCTATGGATTGAGGAAAACGGCCGCGCCGCGACATAGCGAGTTTTACCCAATAACTGGACTTCTGTACAGATAGTTGAAAGCACGGCCCAGGCCGCTCGTACGGGCAGGATCACACCCACTGTTCTGCCTTCCACGCTCCACGTCTGTCTTGTAAGAGGACGGTACCGTGGAAGGCTTGGCTCCGTCCGAGTGATCAGTGCATCGTTGTCGGGGACTACTCAACAGGGAGGTCGTATTTAGTCGCTGTGGGAGGGTGGCCGTAGTTGATCTGAGAAAAAATTTTGATAGTTGGTTTTTCTTGTTCCACGAACGCTAAGGGAGGGGTCTTAGTTTGCTTGTTGTAGCGAGGGGGATCGTATTTGGCTCCCGACCTTCTGGGAGAGGCTGGCGTAGTGCGCTATTGATAGCGCAAAGCAGCTTCCTGGTCATTTAAAGGAAGAATTCTACAGAAAAAATGGTTTTGTTTAGGTTAGATCGATGTCGAAGACCAAAAGGGTCAAGAGGTCTTTTAGATGGTTGAAAATAGAGAATGGGCACAGTAGTCAAGTCTTTTCGCACTACCAGGAGTTTCCCAATCTTGAACCTTCGCCCCAACCGCGTAATTAGGGAGCTTAACTCCGAGTTTTTGAAAAGACACCTGCGTAACTCATTTTCGGTTAGTTTGATATCCGTTTCTAGGACAAGCCTCCTTTGCAGGAGGGGTCATAAAAGGACATCCCGCTAGAAAAGTCTGAGTGGGAGCCTATTCTGTGGTCTGGGCGGGTAAAATAGATTTTTGAACTCTTGCCCATACACAAGCTGGAGGACTGCCGTAAACGCCAATAAACGAATTCTTAATTGCCAGGATGAACTAGGGGAGAGAGCGAGAGAAGGAAGAAAATGGTTTGTTTAGCAACGATTGGCCCCTTCCCCAAACGAGCTGTAGGCTCCCACGCAGGAGTGTAGGAAGCACCTTACTCTTTTCATTTTTTTCCGGGTTCCTTTACTTTTCGTTGGATTCACACTCGTTTCATTTTCAGATACGTCATTTATCCTCGCCAACGCACAAGTGGTCGACTATCCGATTGTTTACTGCAATGACGGTTTCTCAAAACTCGTCGGGTATTCAAGGGCGGAGATCATGCAAAAGCCCTGCTCGTAAGTTCCGATTGAAAGTTTAGGGATAAGTTTTGGCACAACAATATATAATTAAAATAGAACTTGGGTCATCGAAAGGAAAAGGGGGGAGGTCTCTACGCTTTTTGAAAATATTCGCTCAATAACAACTTCTGTTAGACTATTAACTTAAGTGGATCACGTCGCAGGTGATTCTTGGGGTCGCTCACATTTGTTGATTGTGAGAGGGGTCTGTCCCATGTTTTGGCTCCTGTCACTCTGTTCGCATGGGCGGAGACAGTCCTTTGCCTGTGCTGCCCTCCGTGGTGCCCTGCTCTTCTTCACCAACCTAGGGGGGGGGGAAACGACGCAAAAAGGCCTAGTAGTCTCGCCCTTACAACAAGGGCTGTCTGTAATTTTGAACCTAATCTCTCTCCTTGAAAGAATGATGATAAGAAATTGTCAGAAAATACCTGACCCACCTTCAGACTGGCATTTTTGCACGGTGAACATGGAGAATCATCGAATTTTGTCCGAATACAAGAAGCACTCGACAACGGCCGAACAGACCAAGCTGAAATCGGTCTTTGTAAAAAGAACAGTACGTCCTCATTGATCTCCTATTTTATTGATTCTTCTTCTTATGGGAATTATTCAAATAAAAAAAGAAAAAGGTTCAACAAGTCCAACGCTTCATCCAGCTCCGCGGAGTCCTCATTCACAAAAGGGTCGTACTGTTTTCAGAGACTCCCATCTGGTTACTGGTTCATTTGGCTCCAATTAAGAATGACAAGGACTCGGTGGTTCTCTATTTATGCCAGTTCAAGGATATCACACCGCTTAAACAACCGTTGGACGATGAAAATAACAAAGGTAGGTGAAAAGCTGCAAACTCAAGAAGCGATTACTGATTCTATGCTGCCTGTTTCACTCTATGTGGGGAACGCGATGTGGCAGAGCGCTTGCCTTCTCCAGTTATTTCCCTTTATTCCCGTCATTCTTCTAGCTAGTGGCCTAGTTAGGAAACATACAACACGTTTAAGGTGCAGAATGCAGTCTTGTAGTAGTGTGCGCTCCTAATTGTAAAAAGCAGTGCTCTTCTAGATGCGTTCCTTGCGCCTTTTTTCAAGGTACGTTCCTTATCATAATACGGTAAAGAGGTTGATACTCTACACATAGGGGGAGGCAGGAAGCTGTGACCTAGAGCAGTCTTATACTCAGGAGGAACATGCAAGTGGTACCACCATTGGTTTGCGAGAGTTTTACGGCCAAACTTATTCTGTGTGGTCAGCAGCTCCTTCCCATCATTCACGTCATCATCTTGGGTAGTAGCCTAGTCAATCGACACCAGAATCGTTGAGGCGCAATTAGCAGGCACCTTTGAGGGGTAGCATGGTTTCCTCACTACTGAATTCCTCCCTCTAACACGGTCGAAAGGTGGGACTCTGGAAAGACGGAGCAAGGAGAGGAGCCTGAGTGTCTTCTCTGTCACGAATTGTATACAGGGCATCTGTTCTTACCACTGGCCTCGGGCGACTAGTGGGATATGGTGCAGAAACCTGCGAAATCGGTGTTGCTGCCGCGATCCAGTGAGTATTCATTCGAAGGAGCGCGATGTAGTATAGGAATGTTCATGTGCAATACTATTCCTTCGAAATGTAATTTTGATTGTACTGTAGGACTGTCTCGGATCCTTCAAATTGCTCGGATCGCGAAATCTAAGCAGCAGTTCAATCAAATTGAAACCAAGGATCTGCACAAGACGACGACGTCCGTTTCGTCTAACTTCACCCAGGTAATATTGTCGATTGTGCCATCGATTCTGTGAACGTCCTCGATTCTCCTCTTTTCTGTACCAGAGATTCCTCAGTACTAGACTGAACTAACAGCATGTTTCCACTGAACGTAGTCGTAGTAGTAAGGAGAATGATTTCTGCTCTAGCAATGCACACACTAGATTAGATTCTTTATCATAGGCGTGAACACATCTAAATAATATAGTTACTGGTGCATATTAGTTGCTAACGTATTTCGTTTCTGCGGATCCATCGGGCACTGCTGCTACGACACAATTCGTCCGCAAAGATCGGTTATTCACAATGTTTTTCGCTAACCATCGTTTCTTTTTAGTGTTACGAGGCCAACGGCCGCATAGTGAGTTTAGATTTGTTCGTGCTCGAACTGTTCAGCATCTATACTTTTCTCTCTTTATTTACGTTCCTCTCCTACAAGTACACTACCATGTAGTAATTCATTTCCTCATCTTGATTGTGATCGTGGCGGACTTTCAGTAGGTTTTCACAGAAACACCATTCATGAGGCCGCGCTGAGCACGGGACAGTCCTCTTTGCTATGGACACTGTGGCGCGGAGGCTGAACTTTTCGTGAGGCCAATCCTTGTTCACCTAATGTTCTCGCTTGCTCATTTCTACAATTGGTGGAGAACGAGATGGCGCCAGGTGAGAATGATCAAAAACGAAAAGGACCACCAAAAATACAGTCCGGCTTGTTGGGCAGCCTCGCGAACAGTGTGCCACGTCACCACTGCTCACAAGGCTGTCCTCTCGTGTTCTACCTCTCCAAAATAAGAACTGAGGAGTCCAGACATTTACTGTGGCGACCACTGAGAGGCGAACGAAAGCTCAATGAGCAGTGTAATAATATTGCTGAGTCGCTTTGAGCACTTCATTTTCAGTCCACGCAATATTTTGCCAGCGTACTACTAGTCACTTTCTACTTACAGGCATACAGTGGCTGAAAAAAATGTGAAACATGCCAATAGATCACGATCTTGATGGATTTGATATTAAGCTCTCACCAGAACCGTACAAGTAACGACAGTATAGTGAAAATAGTAACACATTTGGAAGGGTAGCCACTCGACTTGACAACACCGTAAAAGTAACAACTGTACAGTAACATTCATTCGGAAGAGTAGTCACTCTACCTGATAAGAACCTTTACTTTTCCGTGAAAAGAATATTGCAAAGCCTTAGAGGGCATCCGATTTCAATTTTCTTGAAAGGCAGTTGGCGTTTCGTTTTTGATAATTAACTTACCGTTACCATGCGCTGCAAAATATTTTTGTATACGCTTCGTGGGTTTCTAGACCACATTTTGTCTCGGTCACTCTTTCAACAAAATGCTGACCTTGGTGCCGATCCAGCTCTTCAGATGTAATCCTTATCACGGTGCGCCGCTCCAGAAAGTGAGGGAGGTGCCGTGATGGGCACAGCCGCGGACGCTTTTATCACCACTTCGTGCCTCCTCAGTCGGCAAAAATTTAAGGAAAAGGCTGTCGGTTTTCACAGTTTTCTATATCTTGC